GAAAGTCAAAGTTGTGAAACATTCACTCATTTTTGCTCGGTACTGTATGTATGTACATATATTATTTAATGATGAAAAATCTTAAATGTTCATGTAAATGTAATGCACCATAAGGTCTAAGAAATCAGCTACAGAATGAGGAAAGATATAGATATATTGCGCATATTCCTACACCCCAAGTCATATATGTACACAACCATATATAATTTTCGGCTAATTTATAGGGTCTACAAACAGTAACTCGCAGTTTTAGCTGTGGAACTGAAGATACAAACCCAATGAGCTACGCTCTAATAGCCTTAACCCTCAAAATCTTAACGTCTAATCAAAAAATAAAACAAATATATATATATAATATATACATATGTATCTGCAGCCCATATGCTCTATTTGCTAAGTGAACGAGTATGGAAATGATTATTTGATAGATAAATAAAAGACCCATACCTATGTGTAGCCCAAAAGCTGTCCTGCCCCAATAATAGTTCAAGTTCAATTGTAATATGATTCATTCTGGGACATATCTCGGTCATATAATGGGAATCACGCGAGTGTTGATGATGCACTTTGACGGAGCTATTGCCTGTCCACGCACAAGAGCTGTAAGTGGCTGTGCTAAAAGAGCTCGAATCATAAGAGAACTACGAACTGCATCAGAATTTGAGACAGGTTTATTTGGCAGAGAGAGAGAGAGAGAGAGAGAGAGAGAGAGGAAGAGCTTTAAGACTCTCGCCACGATTGTTGCCCAAGTCAAGTGGGTTAAAGCTGCTGCGTTGTCAGCAGTGCGGCACAGTGGGGCAAACACTGTCAAATAGCGCGCGAATAATACAATACAAACGAATTGTCAACAAAAAACAAGAAGAAAATGCATTGATTAAGCAAGTTTATATATAGAATGTCATTATATAAGAAATAGAACAGAAGATAAGTGTAAAATATACACTATATTGCATTCAAATGAACTAGTGAACTAGTTCATGGACGTTGATGCTTGTTACATTGTTACTCCGTTGACAGTTTACTATGCTGGTTCAATTGAACTATTTATATATATGTTGTTCACGAGAAATTGAATCGTTTAGAGCTAAACTAGTTGAATCAATTGAACGAATTCGACTATTTATAGGGGCGCAGCTGCAGAAGGTACTAGCGATACGTGTGCTACATCTTGATAAAACATTTTAGGTGCCTAAATATACATATATGTGTATATAATATAAATGGAACCCAGTTGATAAATAATTCAGTTACTTTATATGAATCACTTATTTGACTTATCGTATATATTATTATGAATATTACTTATCTGGTTTACAAATAACTTGGGCTAAATTAACAACTGACTCATGAAGGCACATGAATGCTCTTAATTCATTTTCATATACATGAACTGAAATTCAAAATTTTGCGCCGTGTTTCGCGCACACGCGAACCACTGTGCCGCGCTGATAGTTGCTGTAATACAAAATACAAAAAGACAAGAACGAAAAACTCGTATTTCTCAGCGACTTTGCCGTATTATTTTAATTTGTGCCGTCTTAGTTCGCCATTCGATAATGAACAAATATTTTGACAGACACAAAAAAAAAAAAGCAGCAAACAAAAACAAAATCAAAATCAAAATCAAAATTGAAAAAAATAACAATATTTGGCGCACTGATAAGATAAAATAAATATAACAAACGGTGCTCACATACATATACACACAAAAAAGAGTCATATATTTGGTGTTCAATATCAACAACAACAACAACAACAACAATATTTGTAATATTAACAAAAACGAGTGCAGAAGACACGACTAAACGTTTGCGTTGGCTAATTGTGGGCGCTCATTCACATTTCAGACCTCAGCTGGAGCAGCGGCAGCAGCAACAGTAGCAGCTCGAATCGATCCTATTTATATATATCATATATCATTCACATATATATATATAGACAACCATGGCTGATGCCCGCATACAGTTCAAGGTGCTGAAGGGATTTCCCAGCCCGGCGGAGGATAAGATCGAGACGCAGGCGTTTCTGAATGCGGCCAAAGAGATTGTAACTGTAATTGGTAAGTTGCGCCCATGGACTTTTAGATCGATCGATCGATCATGCAAGTAATCGTTTATCTAAATACCCGCACAGAGACCTTTGGCAAACTCTTCACGCCCGTTATCAAAGATATGAATGGGAATATAAACGTAAGTCTGTGGACAGTAAATCGTCCGTGTGTATGATCTAATGTCTTGATTATGCTTCGATCCGATAGAAACTAACCAAAGTCTATGGCACGGACATTATCAAATATAAGTATCTGGAGGACATGATAGTGCTGAACGTGAATGTCGACGACTATGCATCGACGGCGCTGCTCTGGCTGAAGCGCGGCCTCCAGCTGATCTGCACCTTCTTCGAGAACATCTACAACGATGCACAGAACAAGGAGACGCTCAAGCCGCATCTGCAGGATGCGTATGAGAAAACGCTGAAGCCCTATCATGGCTTCATCGTGCAGAGCACGATCAAGGTGAGTCCATTACATCGCATCCCGTCGCATCGCAGTGCTAACAGACTTCGGCTACGTTTGCAGATCATCTATAGCTGGGTGCCCACGCGTAGCCAGCTGCTTGGCCAGGGACCCGCACAGCTGGAGAACATGGAGGTGCTGACCAATTATTTGCCTGCAATGCGAACGCATCTGGATCGGATTGATGCCCTACTGAAGGCGCACAATTTGGATGATGCGAGCAAAGTGTGATTTGCCATATGCTTTAGCTCAATAGCTTAAGATCGACTAGAATAGACAATGCTTTAAATATTTAGGAATATACACAAACGAACACACTAGCACACATACACATTTAATGTTCTATCATCATACACTTTATAGCTGCCCATTTGATTTGAGTGCATTTGCGTTCCCCTTGTCTGTGGCCAGGCTGCCAACGTGGCAGATGAGCGCCGTTAGCGCCTCCAGTCCGATGAGCACAAATTGTGCATGCGAAAGCAAGTGCAGCCAGAGGTTGGCATAGACGACGGCCAGACGCAAGTAGACCAAGGCAGGCAACAGCACACAGGGCGTCAGTGTTAGGAGCAGCCACATGGTCGTGGCATTTGTGGTCAGATTGATAGAGTAGCTGGCATAGAGACGCAATGACTCAGTGCCAACGGCCAGCACGTAGGCCAGCAGCATGGCCAGACCCGTATAGTTCCACATCAGATGCGACTGCAAGCATTACAGCCAGTTAATCACAAGCATATAGAGTTACCAATCAAGCCAAATCTCACCCAAATGCACAGATGCAGTAAATAGCTGACGCTCCAGACTATTGAGACGTAGGCATTTGCTTGCAACAACATTTGCAGGATTAAATTCGAGTTTCGTGGTATTACTGCAAGATTAATAATGTAATTAAATTCTATTTGAATTCAAATTAGTTTTCTTTTCTCACATACATGGCTGGCCATAATAATAGTAGTTGTTGCTACTTTTAATTTCCAAATCCACTTCCATCTGTAAGGCTGCAAGAACTTCGAAATACCGCTCTGCATTTTATGTACTTTGTTATTGCCGGCCCGGTTGCCAGGACAACGATGCACAATGGTTGCTAGCCATTCGACAGAAATATATGTTTGTAATTCAAACAATTGCAGTTAAGGTGGTGCCAATTGATTTTATGATGGGCAGCACTGCACAACATTTATCTAGATCGCCAGTTGCACGTATCGATGCATATATATCGATATGCAAACTTAGAGCTGCCAGACTTACCACTAGTTTTTATTACAATATTAACGGACAGAGGAAGAGAGATAGAGAGATAAAGATGGAGCTCAGCTTACTCCGTCTGTCTACAAAATATATGAAAATTTAAACTAAATATAAATAATGCTGTAAGAGTTGTAATTTCTTTTATTTTTTTATTTTGTAATGAATAAAATTCTAATGTCATAACACTTAATATTTATATATGTTTATGAGAATATGATTCATTAACTACAATTTGAATTGTACAATTGGTTAATTTTATTTCAATACTTTTTTTTTTTAGATTGACTGAGATTCGTTTAACAGGGCAGACTCGAGCTGATGGCCACCTCCAGTGAGTTTACTGCAAATAGAGAGGGATAGCGAAAGAGAGAGATAGGGAGAGTGCGATTAGTTTGCGAATCGTGTGAATATTTTTGCGTATTGATATATCACTTACAAAACTTTTGATCATGCTTGTAGACGAGATTCGTCAGGATGCCGGCCATCATCTGATGGCAACGTATATAGGTGCCCTCAATTTCGCCGACTTGATTGAGGGCCAAATACTCCATGGCCTTGTTTGCCTCCTCGGTATGGTAATAGCTATCGGCTTCATCCAGACTCAGTGTATTGTCGGAGCTGATGTCGAGGCTGAGAGCATGGGACACATTTAGATAGTTGCAGCAGCTATTCCACTCCATGTCCAGCACAAATATCAAATGAAAGATCTGCTCCAGAGCCGTGTGAAACCCATCAAATTCCTCGGTTAGCAGGCAGTGCTTGCATATGGAGTTCAGGTACTCCTCATGCAGCTTCGCCAGCTCACGTATCGTAGATACCTTCGGCAGCTGCTCCTCGAAATGGGCGCCAATGGCCTGCAGCACATGTGTGCAGAGATGTGTGTGCAGGCTGCTGATCATGCTGATCAGCCAGAAGCGTAAAATTTCCAATCGGCGCACCGTCAATCCAACCAGATCGAGCGGCCCGTATACCTCTGAGCCCTTGCGCTTGATGAAGTGCATGCTCTCCAGCTTCCATATGGCCCACTTCACCTTCAGCATGAGACGCCAAATCTTGTTATAGGATAGCATTTGTTTCGCCGTAATGATGCGTTCCAGAGCCGTTGACATCATATAGGCCATAGCAATTGCATTCAGTGCCTCGTACACCTTGAGGGAATGAGCTCGCGAACGTGAGACGACCTCCACGTACAGCTCGCAGGCCATGTTCGGATAGTGACGGTCCAGAATGTCGTACAGCTCTGTGGTCAGGTCCGACGACGACGCCCAATTCTGGCCGGACTCGATTTGGCGAAAGAGACTGGTGTAGAACGGATACATTATATAGTCCGCCTGGAACATGAGCACGTTCCGCAGGAAATGCACGTGGTCGGCGATGAGCAGCTCCTCGCGATACCAATGCATCATATATTTGCTGGCCCGATCGCAACGCTGTCGCAGCACCTTGCTGAGAGCACGGGGCATCACTTGCGGCAGCTGCAGCTGGGTGCACTTCTCCAATGCTTCAAGGATGTCTAGCACCTGCAACGGCACCGGCTCCTGCTCCATTTTGATGGCACACGCCCGATCGCATCGTATGTGTTGATTGAGCATGCCAATAAGCCGACGATCGCCGATTTGGGCGGTGGCCAACAGAGTCCGTTCGAAGAACTGTGAGAACTTTTGAGGGGTCGGATTTAAAACGCTTTCGCGCCGTCGACCCTTTGGCTGAGCGCAGCCAGTAAAGATCTTGAGCTCGTCAAAGTATTGCCTGATGAGGTCATCGTGCAGCGGCCTCAACTGCTGGGTGGAGTTCACCAAATCGCCCAGCAAATTGATGATCGCTAGCAATTCCTGTGTCTCGCCCGACTCCATGGCGTACGTGATGAGCAGCTTATAGAAGTCACAGTCCTGCAGCTCTGCCAGAATTGCTTTGTGCTCCGGCGGCGCGTCCTCGGGCAGGCGACGCTCGCATATGCCCTGGCCATCGGTGCTGCTGTATTCCACAATGAACTCCAGCCGGCTGTCGTTCAGCTCCGCGTGCCGCCACCAATTGTCGCTGATTTCGCAGAAGCGCCGCAGCGTCATCAGCAGCAGCGCAGTGACCATCTTCTGGTAGGTCACATGTATCCGAGTGTGCCTGTACAGCTTGGTCAGCAGATAGGCGCTCCTTAGATGCGGCGGAGCATCAACAACGGCATCGGAAGCGACCAGCTGAAGATCCTGCAGCTGCTTGAACTGCTCTCGCATGTGGAGCACAAACCCGATCAGGGTTACGCCCGAGTCCTTCTTGCCAGACGCCCTGTCCAGCAGCCGTCGCTCGAAGACCAACAGCTGCTGCACGATCGGCTGCATGAGATCGCGCAAGCCACCAGCGAAGCACTCCAGGGTGCCCGTCGTCGTCTTGCCGCCAGTGGGCCGCAGCAGATCCTTAACCAATTGACGTAGCCGGTACATTGCCTGCAGCGCCGGCTGCACCTCCTCGTCCAGCGTGCTCTTGAGTGTGCCCTGCGGGAAGACTTAAATTGTCGTGGTTTGAACTACTTCAATGCATCGCTGCCCACTCACATGGCTAACGCTGCAGATGGACACATTCGAGCGGACGATGATTTCCAGCTTCTCTGGCCGCACCTCAAAGAAGCAACAATCGACGGGCTCGAAAAACATGAAGATGATCTCACGGAGCAGGCACATCTCGTTGACCGTCTTGGGCAGCGACTGCTTGATCAGGCTGCGCGAATATCTATTCATATGCTGGACATGAGCAATGGCAAAGTTGGCACAGGGGTTTTTGGTTGGCGTCAGCGTATGCACATTGATGTCGTCGCGCCACCAATGCGAATGGATCGTTTTGGCCAAATGGTCGACGCTGTAATTGCTGACATCTATGGGCGGCCGTGGTGGCTCCAGCGCCTTTAGTTTGGGTAGTGTGCACCAGTTGTGCCGCGACTGTGTACCACTGAATGAAATGCACTCCGGCTGTATAATGGTGAACGTCGTCTTTTTCTTCCGAGCTGTACGCTGCGGCGACGGTACATAGGTATTCGTGCCCATAGGGTAAGCCCGGCAGTTTTCATACACCATCGCCATTTCCTTCTGATCCAGGCTCGTCACGGCATCTTGCTCTGTCTCGTAGTATGAGCTCTCTTCGCTGCTGGCTTCTTCGCTCCAGTCCTTAAAGGCGACAATGCATAAAAACACAATTTGCAAGTGTAAGAAACGAAGGGATAACCTACGCTTAGGGTGCTATCACTGTCGTAGCGTTCGATGGGAATCAAATCTTCGCGTAGATATGCCCCCCAATTAATTTCGAATTCAACGGGATTTGGTTTGGCCGGGTCTCCAGACGTATTGAAGGCCGGGGCCGATTGGATTGCATCTCGTATGGCCACAAGACGCTCCTCCATCAATATCCGGTTGCGTCGATGCATCTGAATCGGTTCGTATGCCATGTGCAGGAGGAAATCCAGAATGGAATATTGTATATCCACTTCGTAGTGATCCTTCCAAACTCCATGGTTCATAATCACAGAGCCCAAGAAGCGTACAGCTTTCGCCTGCTGCATCAGACCCTCAAAGTGGAAGCGATCGACCAGATTTTCGATGGAGCGGCTCACCTGATGGCTATTGGTGCTCAGGCAGCGATGGTTGCGTACCTTGTGCACTGCATATTGAAATAGCGAGTTAAGCTTCACATTGGGTAACTGCAATAGCCGGATTGAATGGAAATTTATTTATTTATTTGGTTTATTTGACTTACGTCCTTTCCAACTAAGCACTTCACTAGCTTCTCCAAGTTCCGCAATACACACGGGTAACGTGGATCCTCTGCCATTTTTTAACTCTGGTTGCTGTTGAAGCTATTACGCTGTTGATTAAAATTCGCTCACATCAGATTAAAAACCAATAAGTTCGAGCAAATGTTTTTGACTACTAATTTAAATGTTTCCTTTACGCATTCTGAGCAGCAATGCGCAAAATTGCGCAAAGCCATTTAATCGAGTGACCATGCTAACGACTTGGGGTGACCCTATATTTGTTATCGGAAAAACGTAAACAAATGCAAATTCCGACACTTGATTAATTTTTGTCAATGAAAAATGTGTCCAAATAACCGAACGGCAGAGCCCATCTATGTCATCCTCGGCTCCGGCGGACACACAGCCGAAATGTGTAAAATCAATCAGGCCCTAATGCAGCACGATGACCTTAAGCAATTCCAGTCCGTACGTTATATTGTGGCCAACAGCGACAACACTTCGGAGCGGCAAATGCGCTCCGCTCTGCCGGCTTTAAAGGACAGCGACTTTATACGCGTGCCGCGCAGCCGCAGCGTCGGCCAAAGTTGGCTCACCAGCATATTTACAACGCTGTGGGCCTTGCTCTGGAGCTGCTGGCTCGTTTGGCGCGATCGGCCCCAGCTCGTGCTCTGCAACGGACCCGGCACCTGTGTACCCTATTGCTATGCAGCATATCTATGGCGCCTGCTCGGCCGCTTGCCCGCCCACAGCAAGATCGTGTTTGTGGAGAGCTATTGCCGAGTCGAGACGCTCTCGCTGAGCGGTCGCCTTCTATTGCCACTCGTGGACATGTTCGTTGTCCATTGGCCGGCGCTGGCGACTCGCTACGTCCAAAAGCCGAATCTACGTTACTTTGGCAGAATTTTATAAGCGATCACAAAACACAAAATAAACTGTATTGCCACTAGACGAATATGCCTCTAGAGAGTATATAGAGCAGCGGGGAAATGAACGGGAGTGCCCGACTGACAGACACCCAGATCCCTGGCCATGAATCACGCCTGTTCCATCCATTCTACATCGCTTGTCTCACTCCATTTCATTGCATCAATTGTATAAATATATATGTATATGTATATGTATATATATGCATATAGTATACCTTATGAGCGCTGCCATCCCCCCCCAATGTTTATATTGATATGCAATGAATTTCGTTATCACAATAAACAAGAAATAAAAGAGCTTCGATTTGCTATTCGCAACATACATATATTATATATATAATTTTTTTATTTGTATTTTATTTTGCCAGCCTCAACTAGTTTTATGCATGTAAAAAAAAAAAAAAAAGATGGAAATTTAAGATGAACGAAATGGAGTTCATAAACAAAACAATTTGAATCAGCACATCCAAAAATTGATATTCAAACAGACAATTGCATATCGGACAACTTGAGTCGTATACAGATATATATAGCTAAATTATTTGGTGCGCTTGCAGATGTTGCGATGCGCTTCCATTTGGTGGCCCAGCAGCTCCTGGCCGCATTTGGGGCACTCTGTGGTCTGCTTGTAGAGCGAGCGCTGGCGCATCTGACGCGGTGTCATGTCACTCTCACTGCTCCTTGGGGACTCACTGGACTCGCTGGATGAGCTGAGCTCTAAGGCAGCTATGTCGGCACTTGAGTAGCCGGAGCTCTTCAAAATCTCACGCTTTGATGTTGCGGACTGGCGCCTGTTCACCTTTGGCTTATGTTTGTTTTTCGGCTTGTTGATGCTGTTGCTGTCGCCGGGCAGTGGGCCGTTCGGCTTAATGGTTGGCGGCGGCACACGAATGGTGATGCTGCAGCCATCAAGATGATTGGAAAACTCTGAACGTTTCATTTTCTCAAAGCAAATGGGACAGCTGGTTATGTCGTTGCCAGCATCGTATTGATAGCGCGAGCTGCAGGGCACCACATCATTCTCACGCTGGAACTCCTGCAGGAGCGTATCCTCGCCGAATATATCATCGATGATCGACTGATCGGCCAGCTCAGCGGCAGCACTCAGTTCACTGATAGTATCATCGTACTCATCATCAATCATAAAGATCTCATCGTCCCCATACAGCGTCTCATCCTCCATCACCTCACGCTTGATGTTGATGGTGCGCTCCTGGCTGGACAATTGTGAAGTAGTTTTGGCAACGGCTGGTGCCGCCACCTTGGGCACCGGCTGCACATCGTCGTCGCTGTCTGAAATATTTATGACAGGCTCGGTCACATCGCATACCATTACATCTTTATCGTAGGACACCCAGCCACCGGTATTTTCGGAAATCCGACGACGCTTGCTTGGATTGTTGCGCTCGGGTTCTGGCTCCTGCTTGATCTCCTTCTTCACCTTCACCTTCTCCTTCTTTTGATCATTGTTTTCGAAACGCTTTGACCATACCTCACGCAAATGATTGAGATTGACAGTGTCCGAGAAGCGAGCAGGGCTGGCAGCGGGGTCGGTACTGCCATTGCTCATACTGTAGCCCTTGCCTTGCATTTCATCTTGATTCGGTAAAGTGGGTTTGACATCGCCTTTGCTGTCCTCGTCGGCGCTGCTTAGGTCGATTAGGTCTTTGAAGCCGACCACATTGTTACGCCTCTTGGTGCCAGCACTAGGCCCGCGGCCACCAAAGGGGTTGCCCGATAAGCCCGGATATGATGTGGGCGGAAAGGCGCCCGGCAGACCGAGAGCCGGCTGCACTTGTGGCAATAGGTTAACTGAAGGCTTTGGCTTGCCAAAATAATTGCGTATATCATCACCAGCTGTTGTTGTTGTTGTTTCATTCTTGAATTTGGTTGTGTACTTCGGTCCTTTGGGTTTTGGCATTGATTTGCTGCCAGCGGGCTTGGCTGGCTCACTCACCTTCTCGAAGGTGCCGCCGCAATCGCGCTGATGCTTGGCCCACCATTGATCGCTCGGGCCGGGCGCACGGTTCGAGGTGCGCTTCACCCAGCCCTGGAAGGGATGGTGAAACTGGCAGACGCCATTGCAGCGCCAAATGTGAGTCTTATAGGCATTCACCTCATCGTGAAAGGTATGATAGACGGTTATATTGGTGCCAGCGACTTTATTAATGATGCCCATGATGCGCTTAAAGTTTGGTCCATGTCCGCCATTACCCTCGCGTATATTGAGCACAAAGCAATAGGCGTGTATCATTTCGTGCTGCCAAAATGGAATACAAATCGTATACGTTCAGATGATATGCCGTAAAGCATGAATGGGGTTCGTGAGCTCACCAGCAATGTTTCGACCAAGTCCTTGCGTGGACGCAGCTTTAGCAGCGGCTCACTGAGCCGTATGATTATCTCCTTGACGAATCGATTGCCACGCTGATAGCAAATGCCAGCACAGGAATACATGCGCTTGCTCCACTCAACAACAACGGCGCCAAGACGCTTCTGAAAAAACTTCTGATCGAAGCGGACAAACATGGCAAATATGTCGGGTGTGGGATCAACTAGCTCCCACTCCGGATGCACTAGATTTTGTGTTTGATCCAAATAGTTATTGTAACCAACTGGCGGCGAGCTGGATGCCTTCATTAAGTCCATATTTTTCTTGCGCTGCATACACACATACAGATAAGGTTTAATAGAAATAAGAAGCGTTGCAATGCGAATTGAAATCTGATATATTTACGCTTGAGGGTGTCTCCTTGTTTATATTATCATTTTTGTTGTTGTTATTGTTTGTGTTGTTGCTGTTGCTAGAATTATGTTTAGAGCTGGTCATGTCGAGGGCAAAGACTTCTTCATTGTCAACAGTTTCATTGTCGCTGACGTCTGCATCTTCGGCATCTATTTCGGCCTGAAGTTTCAGAGCCAGTTGGTAGTCACTATCATCCTGACCTGACTTATTCTCTGTCTTTTCCTAGCCATAGAGTTACAAATTCGGACAAATTCTTTTGTGTGTGCAAAAACTGCGTTGTAACTTACATGAGCTGTTTCCGAATTGCTTTCAGAATTGTCGCCATTGAGCTGCTCCTGTAATTTCAGTGCAAATAGATAGTCCGGATCATCGGACATTTTGTACACAGTAAATGCAATTTAATGCGACCCGTCCACAGCAGGCAACTTCAACGTTCTTTAAAATTCGCAGCAATGTCGCGGCTACTGCGCGATTAGAACACAGCTGTGTGATTTGGAACTTCTGGCAACACTGTTCACAAGTATATTTTTCGATAAATATTTGATGCCCTCTGTTATTGACGACATATGTATATGAAAATAACAATTGTTTGACATTTCAGTTTTTTTCTACTTTTGAAGCCAAAAACTGCAGGCCTACTTTTCCAACTACTACTCCTGCTACCAAGACTACAGCAATAATATAGTTTTTTTTTTTTAGATCTATATTTTGGTATCGATTGGTTTGCTGAATAAATATGTGTGCTTTCGATAAATTACCAATGTATCGGTCCTTGGTTTTTGCATCCAAATGGTAACAAACCGCTCTTTAAATTTGCTAACGTAATCAAGACTAAGCAATGACAGTGTAACATATATAGATCAAAATACCCATAAAAAAAAGAAACAAACAAAACAACAAAAAAACTACATAATAAAATGTACACAATTCTAAAACTCATTCATACACAAATAAATATCCGGGAAATTTAATTCCACTGTTAACCAACTACGTGAGTGCAAGCGAATTTGAGTTATCCAATCTGCAATCGCTCTAATTTATCAGTTAATTGATGTCCCATTTAGTAAGCATACATGCTACCGGGAATAGCCACCAAAGCTGGTGATATGCAAAAGCCAAAGACTATATACGATGGGCAAATCGGGAGCTTATTTAACATTTGCACAGTTCGCGCCAAATAAATTCTGCGAGCTGTGAACGGCACATGTGCACAAGCGCTCACCCACACACGCGCATGTGCACATATGCGAGGGCACGCACGCACGCCAGAAGGAACGCGCTTTTTTTGTTTAAGCACATTTCTTGTTGATAGACGATAAATTGCGTGAATTTCGCAATAAATTTAAAGTTTCTGTCCATTATTGACGGACAGACGGATAGACAAACGAACAGAGTTAATCGAGCCAGCTCGTTGACCCGAAAAAGTATATATATTCATTATGGTGTCTACCGCACCTCCTTCTGCCTGTGACATCCAACAAAGCCACTATACCCTGATTTGCCTGATACAATATAAATAAACTAATACATATATTCCTCTTATAGATAAAAAGTCAAATAAATCGCAAATCACGGCAACTGCAGGCGTTTGCATAATGGAGCCAACTTTAACACCTTACTATGTAGGCCTGGAAAGATTTATGAAAGAGTTCCCTCATCTCGAGAACAATTCTATACAATTCCCGGCCAATGGGAGGTTAAGCAAAGACGAACACATGAACAACAATGCGAACATGGCTAGCAACGGTGAAATTCCAAATCGGCTGAAACCCATTGATTATGACGTCAACAGGTGCACTGATAACAATCTGCTTGTCTTCGAAATTGTCGATCCGAGTCAGATGACGCAGGAGCAGCTAGACTACGTCCAGAACTGTGATCTCTTTTCACCAAACATGATTCCGTCAACGTCTAGTAAGCGCCTGTACGAAAGGCAGGGAACGAGAGCTATAAGCCAGGTAGCATGACTTCCTTCAGCTCAATTCAGTTTCATATGACTATCTGAATTAATTTGCATTTTACTTTTTGCAGGTTGAGAACAATTGGGTGCCATCGTCGGCACCACCATTGCCTGTCTCTGAAGATTTCAATCTTTATACGGAAAATTTTCCACCACTACCAGTGCCAAAGCGCAATGGGATGCGAAAATTTTAACCAGGAATCCATTTATATAAGATGACCTGATTTTTCTATTTGGAGACGGTGAAAGACACATGCACACAGTTTCAGCGTCAGGTTTCATCACGAAATTAGGGTACTTTTACATAAAAATATATTGGATCTGTCACTTTAAATTCCATTTTCTACACATTTTATATAGTCTTATAGTCTGTTTTTATAACAGTTTTGCCAGTAATTTTCGTACTTAAGAGAAAACTATGAAAATATGAAGCCTAAAATGAAAATGGTGCTATGGCATTGAAGCCAAACCAATTGTATTACAATTAAAAATTATGTAAGGAATAGTATTTTTATATACATATCCATTGTTATTACAAATAAAAACGCCTATTATCAATATTATGTTAATTAATTTAACAATACGCCCTTTTTGATAGCTATACGCATCTTTTTCGAATAGCCGTTAATCATAAGCTGTCTACTATTCTAACGGGACTTGAGAAATTTGCTACAAAAAGTGACCAAGTTTTTTACCTAAACAAAAATACTGCAAAAATACGGTAACAAACAAAATTGTCATTATGAGCTGCCACCTCGATAAGAAATCGGAATTCACGTATTCCAATTTAAAAATAAAAATAATATTTAATACAACCAAAGTATTATGCTTTGATTTATTTATTCAATTATTTCATTATTGATTGCGATTTAAAATAAAAAAATTTTTAAGAATCTCCAGCTTTGGCAAAAAATTTGCAACGTCTGGCAGCCCTGGTCGGACGATAGTAGGCGCTGCTGTGGAAATCTGGCCTTTGAGTCCAATCTGAATATTTTGAAGCAGTTTCATTTGATATAGAACAGAGGACAAAAGCAGTAAAATTCTAATGGATTTTGGACGCGACAACAATCAGGACTTTTTCGAGAAACTGCACAGGTGAGCCGTGCCGTGCCGTGTCGTGTCGTGTCGGATAACTAGCCAAATGCCTAATCTCTGTCGCTTGCAGCACTGATGGCCCACGTAATTTACGTCAGATCTTTGAGGACGATGACAAACCGTTGCTAAACGAGTCCAGCAATCTGCGCTATCAGCCACAGTCGTCCACAAAGCAGCAGGAGCAGCAGAATGAACAACAGCAGCAGGATGAACAGCAACAACAACAATCGCCAACACCGCAGCTACAAGAAAAGCTCAAAGGAATGATGATTGCCTCGATTTCGCGGAACAAGCGTGATGTAATGGCAGTTGAAAGCTGGAGCACGGTGGTGGCCAAAGTGGCGCACGGATTCAATGGCAGCGAAAATGTTGGACGCGTGGGCGTTGCGCTCTCACGGAATGGTGCCGGAGCTGCCAAGCTGGTCGTGTACAAGAGTCGGACACAGCTGTTGAGTACCCTGCTGCTGACCAAGTCGGCACAATCCTCGTCGCCGCGTATCGGGTCAGCCAATGTGATACTACGTGAATCATATATGCAGTTCTACGACGATGAACAGCATTTCTGGAGCCTGCGGTTTGAGGTTGCCAAGGATGAGGAGGAGTTCACCGCTGCCTTAATGAAGCTTGGCCTGCCCATCGAGGAGCTGCGCATCAATGAGGTTGACAAATCAAGCAATGACCCGCTATCCACATCGAATACATTGCCGCAGGCGCAGTTGGCACCGGCGCTGAGGCAAAAGATCTCCGAAACGTCAGGGTCACTTGCTAATCCAGAGGCATTGCCCAGAACCTTCGACAGCGAAAGTGAATCACCACACTCCACAGAAGACAGCGTTACCACACACCGGGCACGCTCGTTTAAGTATTCTCAGAAGACATTGCCAGCGAAGAGCACCAAAGTGTCGCTGCCGAAGAAGCTAGATCCGAATAAGTCTTCCGCGACGCCCTCTAGCAAACTGGAGCTGTATCTTGATGAGCAACGGGCCACTGGCCATGCCATGGACAAGAAAATGGACACCATATTGCAGGCCATGTGCCGGCTGACAAGCAACAGCAATTTGCCATTGAAAGAGAGCAGCGGCGATTCGATGGTCGTCTCGATTGAGCATAAGGATTCGAGGAAACTGGATAGTATTCTGCAGGCGATGAGCCGGGTGGCCAACAACAGTGGGATGCAACAGTTAGGCGAGAGTCTGGACACAACTCGCGGCAACACAGACAATGAGGATGAGCTGCTTGAGCTGGAGCAGAAGCTGCTCGATTTCAAAAAGGAGAATCGTTCGCTTATGAAGAGCCTGCGGGCGAAAGAGCAGGCGCTCGCCGATCTGCGCGCCTCCACTTGTGCCCTCTGCGAGGAGCTGCTGGCCCAGAACAGTGAGCTCAAACAGCAGAATACAGCGCTCATTGCGGCTATGACCAATCAGAGCAGCTCCACCTCTCTCACAGCCATTGTTCCCGTTGGCAATTCGGCATTCACTGTCGGCGACTGCGAGAATTGCGAAAAGTACTTGACAAAGATATCGGGGCTGGAGCGTCGCCTCTCCACACTGCAGAGTGCTCTGCTCAATTATACGGCCAGTGGCCAAACGACGCCAGCAGCAGCAGCAACAACAACAGCAACGACAACAAGCCTATCGACAGCACAGGCACCGCCCCAGGCTGCTCCACCGCCACTCTAGAGATTAGGGCATTTCATCTTGACCAAAATGTTCTACATTGTATTATATTTACTGTATTACTGGCGCGCGTGCGTGCGTGTGTTCCTGGTGTGAGTGTGTGTGTATGGGTGAATGCGTATGTGTATGTGCACGCACGTTAATTTAAGTGTTGTCTACATAATATGTTAAATTATCAATTAAGACCGTTTTCGATCAAATGCCTCCTCTTAAATAAAACATAAAAAATTGAAGAAAATCAATAAATTTGGCCTGTAGTGCAATCGGCAACAAATCTCATGTTTCCCGTTAACCAAAAATACTGCGTCAACTATGTATAATTTTCGTGATTATTAAATGTAAAAGTCCTATAATAAGTTGAATTGTAAATAATAGTAGTTGCCGCCAATAGTCCTAAATAAATCTGACTATACAATTGAAAGAAAAGTCTACATATGTATATATCACTCTGGTTAGTCAAAGTAAGGGAAGGTAGCGCGTGCGCATGACGTCACAATTGCCATGCTTTGCTTTGCATAATTGCAAAATGCAACTATGCGTGCTTACTGTTATTCGTGAGCATGTATGATGCCCATCCTTAAATATATTTGCAAACAACGTAATATATTTATGTAGCTAATCGTAGCTGCAGATGAAGAGTAATATAGCCTTGGTTGGGTATCCAAAACTTAGCACAAGAAATACTTACTACACAATTTAGGCTGATCTCGACACTTATCCAATCGGACATACATATGTACATACATATACATACATTCGTGTCGATAAGCAGCAGCGCCCATACAAATTAACAGTAAACAATATACTTATGTATATGTATGCATGTATATAAATTGATATTGAACAAATTTGTACAAACTAATTTGTTTTATTTGCAAATCATAAATGACTTCTTTCAAGAGAGGATTGTCAACTAAAAACTAATACGAGTTCCATAGTGGCTTCATGCCTGTGTGTCTGTGTGTGTGACAGAATGTAGGTGCATGTGTGTCTGTGTTTGTGTAGTGTGCGTGTGGATTGGAAGTTCTGCTTTTGGTTGAGGAAGCGCAGGATAACGAAATTGGCTTCACAGATTCATCCATGCAATATATGGTACTAATAACTCTAGCCTAAGTTGTTCTAATTTCTCATTTCTCGCTTCGTTTCATTTGTTTTGCCTTTTAACTAAATGCCATTGCAAGTGCTTTGGGTAGTCGTTCTTAGCTAGTTAGTAGGTGCTGCTATCGCTTTGACTGCTGAGGTAACTGCTGGCACCTGCTGCACTGCCAGCGCCGCCAGTGCCGGCTCCGGCATTGACGCTAGTGCGATGCCTCTTGCGCTTGGACTTGGATTTTTTGCGACGCAGCGCTGTTGTCTCAGCTTTGCGTTTATATTTGCCCTGGCGTTTCTTTTTACGCCCATACTCATCTGATTCGCTGGTGCTGGACTCTTCGTTATCGCTGGAATCGGATTCGGTGTCGCTGGATGAATCACTTGACGATTCGCTGTCCGACGATGAGGTTGATGAGGTGCTGGAGGAGTTGCTGCTGCTAGTGCTGGCAGCTCGACGACGCTTCGATTTTTTGCTGGTGCGTTGTTTCTTCTGCTTCTTAGAAACATCTGATGATTTACTGTTAGCTTTAATCTTTGACTCCTTGTGCTTCTTGCTCTTTCTCTTGCGTTTCTTGTGCCGTTCAGCTTTCGTGTGTTTCGATGCGACTGTTTTGCTGCTGCTGCTGCGCTTGATGTGTTTGTTGCCGCCGCTGCTACTGCTGTTTTTCTTATCTGGCTTGGTTGCCTCTGCTGCAACTGGTTCAATATTGCCCTCGGCTTTCAGCTCCTGGGCCCGCAGTTCGGTCAACGGCGTTAAATAATCGAGCTCCGAGTCAGAGCTGGTGCTTTCCACATCGAGCAATATCTCCTTGTTGGGATCAACCTAGGCGATGGGCGGAATTTGTTATGCTCTGGCCTTGTCTACTTGCCATTTTGCCAGTGCATAGCGGCTTTTGCTTACCTTGAGAAAATTGCGGCATTGGTAGGTCAGGTGACCCGCGTAGCCGCACTTCTTGCATGCCGAACGCAACGTATCTTTGTTGGAATTAGCTAGCGGAAAGTTCATCTCGCTTGCAGTTCTTGTTTCTTTCTCTTATTTCAATTTTACTTGGCCATTAATTAACGTGATTGCGGCTCTGGCGTTTAGTTTGATCTGCCTTAGCTACCACACGGCGGCTGTTGTTGTTGTTCGGCTTGTATCGATACAGCTATCGATAAGCACGCGATAGCCATAAACGGGACAGGCACCAGAAAGTCGTTCTCACTGACACCGTTACAAGAACTGACCTGTTTGCTTTCGCAATGCAATGGAATGAAAAAGTCAATGATCAAGTGATTTTTTTGAATAGGTGGGCTTTAATAATATTTCTCAAAATTTTCAATGTATTGAAACATAAGATATACATTGATTTAATGGAATTGTTTACTGATTCTCTGATTCTAAAGCTTGACACATTTCAATTAAATTGCTATGGTTAACAAAAATATGTGTTTCTGTTCACTCAATATGCGTTTTTTAGCGTTAAAAAATATGAATAGAGCACGCTCATTGATACATGGTAATAATGCATTTTCGCATTCGCTATTTTCGATTAATGTATATATTGATTCTTTTTGCAAATTGCACTAGTAAACAATGCAAACAATCGATAATTGCCATCGATAGTGTTATTGTACTCGTGGACACTTGCCTATCGAGTAGTAAAACAAATTTTGCAGTGCAAGTGTGTCCAGTGTATGATAGATGTGTCAGAGTATTGGCAATTGTTGTAAACGAATTCGCCGTGCGTTGACAACTGGAGTGTAGCAAAGTGCTAGCAGGTTTCCAACAAAAAGCTTTCACCTCTTTTTGCACGCCATCACTCACACACACACACACACAATACACAATACAGAACAAACACTCACTGCACAAATAGAACAATATCTGCAACTTCAATTGAATTGGGAAACCCCCCAGCAAGATGCAACAGAACTCGGCCAGCAATCCGTTTTCGGTGGCTGCCTATGGCGAACGACCCCAAATGGGGCTGGACGTTGAGTTCGGAGCGGATCCGGCCAGCGGTGCAGCATTCTTCCAAAGCGATGGCCGTAAACATGACGATCTTAAGCAGATGCTCGACAGCAACAAGGATGGCCTTAAGCTGGAGGCCATGAAGCGCATCATTGGTATGATTGCACGTGGCCGAGATGCCAGCGATCTGTTCCCGGCTGTAGTCAAGAATGTGGTATCCAAGAACATTGAGGTAAAGAAGCTGGTGTATGTGTACTTGGTGCGCTATGCCGAGGAGCAACAGGATTTGGCGCTGCTCTCCATATCGACATTTCAGCGTGCACTCAAAGATCCCAATCAGCTGATACGTGCGTCCGCCTTGCGTGTGCTCTCTTCCATACGGGTCAGCATGATTGTGCCCATCGTAATGCTGGCAATCCGCGACAGCGCCGCAGATCTCAGTCCCTATGTACGCAAGACGGCGGCGCATGCCATACCCAAGCTCTATTCGCTGGATGCTGACCAAAAGGATGAGCTGGTCACGGTGATTGAGAAGCTGCTCTCAGATCGCACCACCCTGGTTGTGGGCTCCGCAGTGATGGCCTTCGATGAGGTAGAGGCTTCGACATGCTATTCGAATACTTTCATGTCATTGATGACGGTTTCTTTCATTTGATTCTGATTCAGGTTTGTCCGGAACGCGTGGATCTGATACACAAAAACTACCGCAAGCTGTGCAATCTGCTTGTGGATGTGGATGAATGGGGTCAGGTGATCATCATCAATATGCTGACTCGCTATGCGCGCACACAGTTTGTGGATCCCAATGCGGACGAGGAGCACGGCCAGGGCGAGTCCCTGGATGCCGATGCGCCGGCCAATGAGCGATTCTATGACGAATCCTCAAGTTCCAGCAGCGACGAGGAGGCCAGCAGCGATGACGAGGCACCAGGCCAAACCAAAGCCAAGTCCAGCAAGTCGAGCAGCAGCAACAACAACAACAACAACAACAACAACAACAATGACAAGAATAAGGCTAAGGATAAGGAGAAAGACAACGACAACAACTGCAGCAACAGCAGCAGCAACAACAGCTACCACATCGATCTCGACCATCGCCTGCTGTTGCGCCAGACCAAGCCGCTGCTGCAGTCACGCAACGCCTCCGTTGTGATGGCCGTCGCCCAGCTGTATCACCATGTGGCGCCCCGCAACGAGGTGCAGCTGATAGCCAAGGCACTCATCCGTCTATTGCGATCCCACAAGGAGGTGCAGAGCGTGGTGCTCAATTGCATTGCATCGATGTCGGCGCGTCGCAAAGCGATCTTCGAGCCCCATCTGAAATCGTTCTTTGTGCGCACCAGCGATCCAACGCATCTCAAACTACTCAAGCTGGACATACTCACCAATCTGGCGTCTGCCTCGAGCATATCGCTCATCTTACGCGAGTTCCAAACCTACATCTCCAGCAATGATCGGCCCTTCGTGGCGGCCACCATTCAGGCCATTGGACGCTGTGCGGCGAGCATCAAGGCTGTCACCGAGACCTGCCTGAGCGGCCTCGTCCATCTGCTCTCGAATCACGATGGTGAGCTATAGCTGATTCAATATCAATCAAATCCGAATGCCCTAATCCTTTCCTACTCGAATCTCAATTTAGAGCACGTTGTCGCCGAGAGTGTGGTGGTCATCAAGAAGCTGCTGCAGAGCAAGGCCGCCGAGCACTATGAGATTATCACCCAGATGGCCAAGCTGATTGACTACATCAATGTGGCAGCTGCCCGGGCGGCCATCATCTGGCTAATTGGCGAATACAATGAGAAGGTGCCGCTGATAGCGCCCGATGTGCTGCGCAAGATGGCCAAATCGTTTGTGGACGAGCAGGATGTGGTCAAGCTTCAGGTGCTCAATCTGGGCGTCAAACTGTATCTGACCAATCCGGAGCAGACCTCGCTGCTCTGCCAGTACGTATTTACGCTGGCCCGCTACGACACCAACTACGATGTGCGCGATCGTGCGCGCTTCTTGCGCCAGTTCATCTTCCCCGCCAGCGGCGGCAGCACCGTGCTCTCCCAGCATGCACGGGAGATATTCCTGGCCGCGAAGCCGGCCCCAGTGCCGGAGAGCAAGTATCGCGATGGCAATCCCTACCAGCTGGGCTCGCTCTCTCACTATTTGAATATGCAGGCAACGGGCTACAAGGAGCTGCCTCCCTTCCCCGCTGTGGCGCCCGATTCGAGTGTGCGCAACATTGCTGGCTATATGCAGGAGAAGCTGCCCGGCGAGAGTCCGGCGCGCAGCAAATCCTCGTCGCAGGGCGCTGCCAAGGGGGCGGGCGACAAGGGCTTCCTATCCGAATCAGAGAAGTCATCCGCATACACCGGCTCCAGTGGCAGCAGCAGCGGCAGCAGCGGCTCCTCTGGCAGCGACGGCTCCTCCGGCAGCGACAGCGAGCCGGAGCCGGAGCAGGGGGCGACGCAGCCGTCGAAGGCCGATCGGATCCAAGCACAAGGCAAGGCGACTAAGGCGGCCGTTGCTAGTGCCCAGCTGATCGATGACATCAACAATAGCAGCAGCAGCAGCAACCCGATCGATCCGCTGGCTGTGGCTGCCGGTGCCGCCGTCGCTGCTTCCTCAACGGGCAACAACAACAACAACAATGCTGTCGCCAACTCAGGCACCTCCGACAGCGGCGAATCGTCGTTCTACAGCGGCAGCAGCAGCGACGAATCCGACAGCGACTCGGCCAGCGACAACGAGCAGCAGCAGCAGCAGCAGCAGCAATCGCAAGCGCAGTCAAAGAATGCTTCATCCGCCGATCAGAAGCAGGCGAAACCACAGCTGGAGCCACAGTCGCAGTCGTCAGCTAAAACCAATTTGGATCTGCTGCTCGATCTGGATGATATACCGCCCATTGGGCCAGTGATGACGCCCTCGTTAGGGGGCTTTCTTACACCAGGTGAGATCTGCTCTCTCTCTCTCTCTCTCTCTCTTTCTCTTAAGAGATTTGCTCAGCGATTCATATGTTCCATTTGCAGGCACTCCCATGCTGCCCGGCCAGGCCGCACTGCAGCCGGTGCAGGCGAGCAATCGCATCGAGCTGGTTGGACCCTCGCACACAGAGTTCAAGCACAAGGAGCTGCTGAACAAGGTGAGCGGCCATGGGCTGCAGCTGTCGTATCGTTTCACGCGTGCGCCGCATCTATATTCGGCGGCCATGTGCTCCATTGAGCTGCAGTTCCAGAATCGCAGCGACCAGGTGCTGACCAACATACGGATGGGCCAGCAACAGCTGCCGCCGGGCATGCAGCTGAGCGAGTTTGCCCCGATCGCCCAGCTGCAGCCGGAGCAGCTGGCCAGCGGCATTCTGGGCGTCGATTTCAATGACACAACGCATGCCATTGACTTCGAGCTCATCTCCAGCGGCGGCTGTGCACGGGTGCAGCTGAAGCCGCCAGTTGGCGAGCTGGTGCGCTCTGTGCAGATCAGCGAGAGCTTTCACAAGGAGGAGCGCGCCAAGCTGCGCGGCATGAACGAGCACCAGTGCGAGCTGCGCGGCGTGCAGCGGGACCTCACCGATCTGCTGGCGCTCAAGCAAAAGGTCTACGAATGCATCAATGTGGCCCACACGTACAGCTCGGCCAGCAATCAGCTCCATTGCTTTGCCGGCCAAACGCTGAGCTCCAAGAGTCTCGTGCTGCTCACCCTGCAATGGCAAACGGACGAGGCGCTCACGCTGCTGGTCAACTGCGAGAAGATGGTGATCGGATCGATGGTGCTCAACGAGCTGCGCAACGCGCTGCAGCAGAGTTTTGTCATGTGAATTGCGATGGATGCGTATGTGTATATGTATGTCTATATACTATAGATGATCAGCAGTCACATTTAGCCAGGGCAACACGAGATGGTTTCTTATAGAAGCAGTCGCCGCACTATGTAAAGCTAAGCAGAACAAAAACAATACAACCAACTAAACCTATATATGTACATGTATATATGTATATATGGGGATATATGTCCATATATATGTATATACATATATCTCTGTACTAGCCTAGATTAAGCCAGACGCGATTCCATGCAGCTTAAATGAATGTAAGAGCTAAGCAACAATTTATATAGTCTCATCTGTGTCTCTGTGTGTGTGGGTGTGTATGTATGTCTACATATAAATGTGTATGTGTATGTATGTATATATAATCTGTAACTACCTTAAGTATCCTATATATATATATATGTATATGTACGTACATGTTTATATATTCATGTGAACTCTAGCAATCGTGTTTGATGTTGTAACTCTGTTGCCTTCGTGCTCTATGCGGCCTTTCTCAAATCGTAGCATAACATAGAAGTTCTCTCTATATAGATATATGTATTGATAAATATATATGTATATACGTAATATATGTATATATATATTTGTCTAAGTGTCGTAATGTTAACTGAATTGTTGCCTCTTCAAATTTACTTTATTGAAAATTATTTTTGCTTATATATGTATATACATACATATACATATTTATATATAAGAAATATATACACATCATGTACATGGCCTTTTGAGCATTTAGAAAGAGAAAGATAGAGCAATAGATAGAGAAAGAAGAAAATGCTTAAGCTTGCGCTTTTGTTTTCTATACATCAATATATATGTATGTATATATATGTAAATCGATTGTAAGACTATTTTCATGCCAGCCAATGTTTAGCAGTTGATAAACTCTATATATATATATATATGTGTATGTATATATAGATGTGCATATGTATTGCTGGAGCTTAGCTCCAATCTGTAACCCATTTATCTAAATGTCTATTTTGAAAGATTCAATATTGCGCCGCGCTATAACTAAGCCGTTTCCTACGCCAACTTTTCAAGCTCCCCCCATTTTAATACTAGCTAAATCTTATTCATATTAAAGAGAGAGATATATATGCATATATATGTACATCAAAGATTTTTCGAGGCATCTTTGTTGTTCGTTTCGAATAAATACTTCTTTTTTTTATATAAATATATATACATATATTCAATGAGCGATTCGCGATTCCAAACTAATGAAAATCCAATTAAAAATCATATGTTTATTATTATTATATATTATATATTATATATTATATGCTTTTAAAAATTACGCTAAATGAACAAAAATCTATTGAAATAAACGGAATGTTTTAAAAAACGAAAATAACGAAATGTTTTCTTCTCTTGAGACTTTGAAGTATACTCGGACTCAAGAGAGCATACGTAGGTCGTCTTCGTCTCAATATACCCCACCTGCATCTAAAATTTGTCTAAATCTCAACTCGAAATAAAACAAACTTTTATGTTTTTTTTTTTTTTGCTTTTTCTAATTTATTGTGATTTTTGAGTTTTTTTTTTCATCGTTTTGTTGTTGTTGTTTCTGCTTGTCTTTTTTGTTTTTGCTTTGATTTGCACAATTAAAAAGCTCAATTTCATGCTTATAATATAAACCATTAAGATTTTAGTTAGCTAGATTAGTTGTTGCACAGCTGCACTTAAAAATTTGTTTGTTTTTTGGTTAGGTTTAGGTTTTGTAGGTTTTTGCGTTTGGAGGTTAAGTTTAACTGTATTTCTTCAAATCGAACAGTAAGAACGGGCAACTAAGTGTTAGAGTGTGTTAGAGAGAGAGGGTGGGAGCAAGAGGCTGTGTTGAGTAGGTGAATGAACTGCTTGCTGTGTGGGTGGTAGGTGAACTGCTTTGCCAATGGAACTGCTTGCTGTCGGTAAATGGGCGCAAAATTTGAATTCCTTTTGCTCGTTCGTAAGACTTAGATAGAAGGAGGACTAGTTAGAGAATTGAATTGGTATTATTAATTGGTTAAATTGTGTTTATGTGTTTAGCCAAATGAATCTTAAATGATGGAGAGTATGTTTGACCTTATGCATGCTGTGATTGGATAGAATGTCGATGAGTTTGTAGATAATAGCGGGGATTATTATGTGGTTGTTGTTTTTTGGCTTAGAATGAGCAATGCATATATATGTATATATGAATATATAGATTAGGCCTATATGTATATATATGTAAGTATATGTATGTGTAGGATAGGTAGGCATATGAGCATGGATAGCGTTAAGTGTTGCGTTGTTCTTTAAAGTATTCGTTAAATGAAGTTTCGTTCAGTTTTCGTATGTATATAGTATTCATATGTCATATATCATGTATACTTATACTATATTTATATATGTATGCATATATGTATATATATATAGATATAGTATTATATAATCCGGACATTGTTTTCATATTTCATATAAAACTAGTTTGTTTGTTTTTTTACGTATATATATAGTTATATATATATGTATATGTATATATTATTTATGTATGTATATGCAGGTATTTTTATATATATGTATATATATATTTATGCACACATACACATATGCTTGCTGTATGCTTGTATGTGATGTATATGATTTTTATATATTTATATATATATATATTTATTTATATATATGTCTAGGGATGATTTTCAATCACTTATTGTTACTTACGGTGTTTTGTATAATGTATGCTTTGCTTGGACTGATCGGACGCTTTGAGTTTTCTGAGCTTTCTTCTAAGCGGTTCTCATATTAGCATTTGCTTTCTCTTTCTTGCTTACTTTTGATGACATATAAAGCATGTTGTGTGTGTGTGTGTGGTGTGTGTTTCATTTAAATGTAAGATCAATCAAGCACCAGGCGCTTATCTCTCAGCTTTAGCTAACTAGCTAAAGAGAGAGAGAGAGACATATAGATGTGTCTATTTCTTTCCTTGACATTACTTGATGCATTTGAAGTTCTTCTGTCAAATTTAACAAGCAGTGTCAACTGCATGTTAAATATTAAACATATGGTTTAAGGAATTTTCTTGAAACACAAAATCAAAATCAAAGTTAAATATTTAACAGACCTTGGAACAACTGCTTGTCAGCTAACATTAGCTTTGACATGGACATTGGACAAAAAAAAAAGGAAATAAAAAGGAAAGTTATATGTGTGTGTGTGTCGTGCGTAAATTTGTAATTTTTCAGTATTTTTCAGTATTTTGCAGTATTTTTGTAGTACTTTTTTCTTTGCTTTTCAGATCTAAACTTAGTTTGAAGCTAGGGCATATTTGTATACATATATTGATGTCTGTGTGTATGTGGGTGTGTGTATGAGGGGGCAGGGGATAGGTTAATGTAGTTTTGATTACGCCATTATTATTCAGTTATATGTATGTATATATGTATATATAATGCTTGCATATAATGCTATATATACTCGCGTGTACTTCTTTCATATACGTATATCATTATATATATGTATATACGTATATAGAGAGCTATACACATAATGCATAGATGCAGAAAATGTTATAGTTGCTGCTGCTGCTGTTGTTGCTGTTGCTGTTGTTGTTCTTCTTGTTGTTGTTATATATCCTTGGAGTATCCTGCTAGTTAGTGGCTTAACTTTAGTTTTTAGGGACTAAGGCCGGCAAATCGTGTCGCGTGCTTAAAGTTTCTTATACCAATATAGATAATGCTCGCCATCCTCGACCATTAGCTCATCGACACCTAAGAGTGAAGAGAGTGAAAGTATATCGATTATTATATGTATGTATATAGACAACAGATAGAGATTATATAGATCGGGTTAGCGCTACCCACCAACAGGCGCAATAAGCTGATTCCCAGGCGTATTATTTGGATCGGGTAGTTCGGGCAATCTGTATAGCAGCCAATAGTGATATCTAGATGTGGATAAATGTGGATTAGTGCTATATATGCATGTAATCTCCCATCTGGTGCGACTTACCCTCGCGGTTCCTCGTTCTTGCCATAGAGCGTGTGCACATAATGCCCATTGGGCCACTCGCGCGCCTCGAAAATGAATCTGCAGCGGGAAGAATAGAGAGTTTAGAGAGGTATACCTACAAGTAGGTAGTCTAGATAATGCATTGTGGATCTATTGATTCGACCTAGAACTATCTATCCTGTTAATTTCAGACTAGATTTGATATGCTACTCCATACTTATAGAAATGGGGTTTTGGGATCTGGCTCAGATCAGAGTGGGTCCTAACCTTGGATCCATTTCGGCTGCCTGTGTCATGGCCTTGAAGAAGCTCGTGTTCTTTGGCGAGACGAGGGAGAGGGAGAAGGCCTCGGTCACATTGGAGCCCACCCAGAGGGTGTAGGTGTACGAGATGTTCTTGGCGTCCGACTCCTCGGCCGAGGAGCTCAGTCCGAAGGGCAACGCCAGCTTTGGTTCACCGTTCTCTGCACAACGGGAAGGATGTTAGTATGGGCCGGTAAAGGAATCGGGGTGAATGGATTGGGCTCACCTGTGGGATCGCTGCTCTCGCGTATGACATGGTCGCATTGGAGGGCGCGCACTGCGCCCAATCCCTTCCAGCCGAGGGCCAGGATGATGTCGGCGGTGAGGCCGACGCCAATGTCCGGCTCCTGGCCGTCCTGGAGCGGCTCCTCGCTCCAGCCGCCGTCGGCGCGCTGCCTGCTCAGTATGTACCGTGAGGCAGCCGTGCGATTCCAGTGGCCGGCCGGATCGTACTCCAGATCCTGGAGCGCCTGCATGGCCAGCGCTGTGCTGCGCAGCGAGCCGAAGCTGCCGCGCTGATCCTGCAGGCTGGCCAGGCCGCGGGCCGGCCGGCGCACAAAGTGCTGCAGGTGGCGATGACGATGGTCGGTCACGATGCAGCGCAGCGCCAGGATCACCATGGCGATGGCATCGACGCTCTGGTCCGTCACGCCGCTGGCTATGTCCAGGAGCCGGCGTATTTGGCGCTTGCGCACATGCGCTGCCGAGCTGCAGGCGGAGAGGGTGGTCAGGGCGAACTCGATGTCCTGGGCGGGCTCGTGATGCTGCAGCGTGGCCACTAAATCGTGTCCATGGAAATGCTTGGGATCCTTGCACAGAGAGCCCAGGGCCAGCACATACCGTGCCAGCTTGTCCAGATTGAGCGGCTTGGGCAGCGTATGGTGGCGATCGAGCATGGCCAGGATCTCGATTTCCATCTCCTTCACGGAGAGCATGTCCTCCAGCTCCTGTATCACCTGCAGATGGGCATCGGCACTCTCATTGGGATCCCGGCCGCCGGAGAGCTCCTTGGCCAGGATCACCACGTGCGTGTCGTTGCCCCAGCCATAGTCCGAGGCGCGTTTCTCCTTCAGCCAATCCAAGGCACGCAAAATCGCCTCCTGCTCGCCTTTGTTGGGCGTGGCCGAGCCAATTATCTCGTGCGGCGGCGCTGCCGCAGTCGACGTCGCAGTCGCTGCTGACTCTGCCGTGCCGTTGCCGTTGCCGTTACCTGTGGGCGGCAGCGCTGCAACAGCGGCGCCGACGCTGGACGTGGTCTCCTGCTGCTGCTGCTGCTCAATGGCGGCCAGCGTAGCGGCAGCGCTGCTAGTTGTTGTTGTCGTTGTCGTCACTGCTGTCGCTGCGCTGCTGCTGCTGCTGGTGCTGCTGCTAGTGCTGCTGCTAGTGCTGCTGTTGTTGCTGTTGCTGTTGTTGCTCTGCTCAGCGCTGGCATCGCTGCTGTTGCTGTTGCCGCTGCCGGTGCTAACGGTAAAGTTGTCGTAGTCAGCGCCCAGGGGCTGCTGAGGCAGCGGCGCGGCTGTGCTCGAAGTAAAGCTGGGACTGCCCAGCACGCCGGCTTCGACAGCGGGCAGCGTTGCGTTCTCAGTCAGCGTCAGCGCCGGCAGCGCGATGAGCAGCAACAGCAGCGGCAGTGAATGCATCTTTGTTGTTGTTGGTGTTGCTGTTGGTATTCCTTTTATGATTATGCTCAGTCAGCTGGAAAAAGAGAGAGGAAGAGGTAGAGGGAGAGAGAATAAGCAACGAGTGAAGCAAAAGGCAAAAGTCAGCAACCAGGAAGATGCAAGGGCAGCGAGCGAGAGAGGCGAAGCGGGGCCAGTGCGCAGGCAATGGCGGCAATGGAGGCGTTGCCTTGAACTGAATTCGCTGCACACCAACACTCACACAAACACACACACACACATATACACGGACATATTGCATATTACATTTTTGCTAACGTCATGCAATTATCGATAATTATAAGCAAAGATCGATATGCCGTCCATTGCCCACACTATTCTGTGCCGGTGTGTGTGTGTGTGTGTCAATTAGTCATCATAAAACTAGACAGAAAGTTGCCAAGCAGCAAGGCGCGCGACACACACAAAGGAAACCAAGCTCTCTGTGGGTGTATCGATGCATGGGTGTGCGTGCGTGTATGTGTGCATGGGAGAGAGAGAGGGAGAGGCGGAGAGCACGGGCTGGGCTTGCCGCTGTATGAGCAATAAAAGTTAATTAAGTGGCAACAAAAGTGTTGTGCTGCCGCTTACATAATGCAATAAATACGGCAAGGATGTGCCATGAGCAGCGTCATAAGCAGAAGCAAAAATTGTTTTTAATCAAATTAATGACACAAAGCAGCGACAGCGGCAGCAGCAGCAGCAGCAATAATAGCAAACAGCAACAACAACAAAGTCAGTAAAGCTGCTGCTGCTACTGCTGCTAGGTGCCGGAAAGTCTGCAATGACAACGGCAACACTGGCGCCTGCTGTGCGTGCTTGCAGGACAGCAACACTGGTGCCCCCCGCCTGTTGTTGCTGTTGTTCATGTTTTCGCGTAATTAACTGCACTTTATGAACACTCACGCTCACGCGGATTCGCACTCTCTCCTGCCATCTCCATCTCTCTCTCTCTCTCTTATGACACTTGCTCAACTTTAACTTCATTATGCTGCCTGCTGTCGACTTACCTGCTAAGTCTTTGTCACTCCCTTTCTCACTCTCTGCTCGGGCTGTCGCTCTCGTGCTCGGTCGCTTTGCGCTTTGTATGTTTGTCGTCTATTATCCGTTATTGCTATTGCTATTGTTGTTGTTGCTATTGCTGCGTTTTGTGGCCTCTCGTTGTTGTTGTTGTTGTTGTCGTTGTCTTGTCTTGTTATTGCTGCTTCTGCTGCTGCTGCTGCCACTGATGTCTATTGATTTTTTATGCCAGGACTAGGCGACGTTTGTTTAACTCTGTTCAAATATTAGTTGTTGTGACTGTAGTTGTGCGCGCACACACATTGGCTCGCACAATCAATAAATTATGAATGGCTAATCTTGTTGTTGTTGCTCTTGCTTTTGTTTTATATAATCGCAGGACACTGTGTGGTATATCCCTATATACTTGCACGCATATACATATAATACATATATTAGATATATATATGTATATATTTGTGAGTGGGCTTCTTCTATAATTGCTAATAACGGTCTGAACTAACGGAACTTTGTGGTATTAGCAGCATATCGGCTGCCTGCTCTCAGCTACACGCACACGCACACCCACTCACTGGGACAGGGACACGCACACGGACACTGACTCACACAGCTGTTCGTTGCAAAAGTAACGGCACTGAAGCTGCGTTTATTTCACGATTCCAATTGGTTGTCTAACTATTGTTGTTGTTGCCTTCGATGCTTCCTCTGCTGCTGCAGTTGATCTTGTTGTTATTGTATTGTAGATGCTGGCATTGCTGTTTAGTTACTTAAGCTGCTATCGTTGTTGTTAGTGTTGTCTGCACTGACAGTTGTTCAATCAAGTTGTTGTGGCGGTTGCCGTCCGCTCTCGACTGACTCTTTATAAGACAGGCACTGCACGCACGGCTAACAAAATAACACACAAAAAAAAAAACATGTCTGTACGTGCCGTGCTGCCACTATTCATAGGGCTACGTGCAGGATATACGCGCGATATGGCAGCTCGCTTCAGCCTGGTTGCACGAATGGTTGAATTCAAAATGGGTGTGTGTCAAAGCTAAGGTGTGTCTGTGCTAAGTATGTGGAGACTTACAAAGCGTGTTTAGATTATATTTTGCATGTTGAATTGGGTGTATGTCAGAGCTAAAATTTCGTTACCCTTGCCCTTTTTCGAATCGGGTGCGAGTCTTAACTAATATTCAGGCTTTAGTGCAACAAGGATAGAGGCGCCTGGCGTTAGGCGTCTGTACCTCAATTGAAGTTTGGCTTTCTGTGTAGCAAAGGAAGAGGTTGGTGTATCGTTCAGAAGGTGTCTATGTTTGATAAAGGTGAGCTTATGTTGGACACTGCCGCAATTAGCTTTGGGTCTCTGTTTAGGCAATAGGAAAGGCTGTCCGACATGCTACGGTGTGTGTCCTGGCTTAGTTTCAACTTGTATAAGCTTTTATAAATTAGTAAAAGTCATTCAAAACGTTTTCTGCGATAGAATTTGTTTACGATGTTCACTCTTTTCTACTTTACTACTTTACTTTTTAATTTAAATTTATTTACTTTTTTTTGTATATCTAATAAAATTCGGGTTTTTATATGATACGGATATTCCTCAGCTGTCGCCATTAGGATTGGGTGTGTGTCCATGCTAAATGAGACCCGCCCCTGCTGCTTAAGCTGTCGTGTGAAGAGGATAGGTTGTCCATCAAGTCAGCTAGGGTGCGTGTCCAAGCTAAGCGTCCAAAGACATCTGAAATTCTAATTAGCTTCTTGTTTGACATTATTAAATGAGAATTGAAAGCTTTTGAGCAGTCAAATTTGTTGACAAAAACGCAAATGCACAAAGTTTGGCCTTTGGCTAGCCTCGGCTTCTGCCTTAATCTTTGCCTTTACAAATTTGTTGTTGTTGTTGTTGTTTTTTTGGTTGCTGCTGCTGCGTCAGTTGTTGCCGCTGCCGCATCGCCTGCTGTAATTTGATATAGTTTTGTGTTGTGTCCGCCGACAACAATCAACAGCGGCAACAGCAACAGCAACAACAACAACAACAATAACAAAAAATGCCGCCAAACCGCCGACGTTGAGGCCAAATGGTCGACAATGGCATTTGTTGCTGTTTCGTGGACCAGGACGAGCCAGTACGAGCCAGGACGAGCGCGGCGAGTGGGAGAGGGAGAGAGGAAGCGGAGAGGGCGAGCCAGGACTTGCGGATTGCTGAAGCTGATGATTGCCTATCGTTTTCCTCGAGCAATTAAAAGAACAAGCAACCATATCGCTTACCACTATGAAATCTATATGAGCGCCGTCGTAGCCGGGCCACTGAGGGGCGTGCGGCGGGTCGGGGCGTGGCAAAACAAAAGCCAAGGGGAAGTCGAAGCCGTTGATGAGGCTGCGCCAACAGATCTCTCAGTTCATTCCCTTCGCTCTCATTGTGCAGTTATGACAGGCGTCCCCCTCGCTGCTGCTCGCGGCGCAGATGAAAGGACGACGGCAGCGCAAGCTTTTGTCGCTGATCCTGGCCGCGGCAGCTGCCGATCAAACGGCCGGCCGAGCACCTTGCCTTGCCCCCATCCCTCATCCTGCTGCTGCTGCTGCTGCTGCTGCTGCTCCTCCCGCACACCCTTCGCACTGCGTTCTGCGTGCTGCGTCCTTCGTCCTTTGCTTCACGCACAATTTGATAGGCGACAGATCGCAGATCGCAGATCGAGAACTCTTTAAATGCAGCTTAGCCGCCTACTTAGCTTCTCAACTTGATGCTATCTGGTTAGCGAGACAGCCAGATCCTTGCGCACAGGACACGGCCAATTGTCGTTTGTCGTTTGTCGATGCTCGATTGTCGATTGTCTGTTTCCGTTTGCTCAGGTACACGCTGAAGGGATGCGGCACCTAGCTGCTTGGCCGTGGGTGCTCAGCTCTAGCCGGCGGCCTTGTCTGGCCTCGTTGTTATCCCTGTTATCCTTGCATTGTTGAGCCTCGCTGGCTGCGCAATATTTGGCAACCCAATTATGTCTGCTCGCATTTTGTTGTTGTTGTTGTTGTTGCTGTTGTTGTTGTTGCTGTCTGCTGTTTGCTTAGCCGGCGCTATTTATTCAAGCCTTGAGCGCAGCCGAACAATAGAGCCAGAGAGCCTTGAGCTATTATCCTGCCAGATCGGCAGCTCCTTCCACATCTTCCACGTCTTCGACGGCTTAACGCAATTGCCACGTTTTGCATTCGGCGCGCCCCTTCGCTCTTTGCGCAATACGAAACAATTGGCCAACCGGCTCTATTTATTCCACTGCGTCCCAGGGCGCAGCAGATGAGGATCGCGATCAGATAAAAAATAAAATGCACTAAACTCAAAACTCTAAACTCCAAACAGAAAATAGAAAATAGAAAACTGAAAACCGAAATCAGAAAACAAAACATCAACAGCAACCGAAACGAATCGAAACAATCGAAATGAATGCAACCAACTGCAAAATGATTTGCGTTCACGATGCGACGATTGCCGAATGGAAAAATGGAAAAACGGAAAATGTGTAAATGAAAATTGTCTATGAGAAATGCTAGAGAACAATCCTAGACTAGTTTGTGCCTGATGGATGGATGCTTGTCTATTTCTAGAGCTGGCGAGCGAGAGCTAGAGCCGCTTACAGTGAAAGCTCCTCAGAGTGGACTCAGAGGCCTCTACTCTGCCAGCCATAAGTCTTTGGCTAAATGGATTCAGTTTTGGGGCGTGGCCCAAGGATCACACTCATTTTATTCGATTTGCAGTAAATCCTTTTCCTTGCTTGAGCTTGCACTTTGGTTTCTTGGCATACTTATAACATATCCTGAATTTACTGTTAATCAATAGGGTAAAATGTGTTATCAGGGCCAAAGAAGGTTCTACCAAATGTTACACAATTTTTATTTTTATTTAAAAATGGAAATTGTATGTATTTTGAATTATAGTTTATGTTAATTATTAATAAATTTAAATATTATGAAAACATTTTTTTGTTTCATTGAAAGCTGTTATATACCTTATATACATTATTTTCTGAAAATCTAACAATTTGTGTGATTTTAGAAAAAATGTTTTCCTAATTGAAATTTTTTTTAAATTTAATTTTTTAATTTTAATTTAATTTTTTAATTTTTTGTAAAATTTTTTATAAAATTTTTTGATTAATACGGAGAAAACAAAATTAAACTGACGCATCTCTTGAATCTCAAATGATTTTCCAACTAGAGAACGCAAAAATTTTTAAAATATTGTCGCGGGGCGAATTTTTGTATTTATATATATTTTATAGTATATTTTTGATTAAATAAATAATAAATAAAAATAAAAATAAATAAAATAAATATATAAATATAAAAACAAAAATAAATAAAATAATTATATAAATATGAAAATAAATAAAAAATAAATACATTTATGTACAAATGTACTACTACTAAGTTTCTATTAGAAGAATTCTCTATGAAGCCATGCGAACGGAATTTCCAAAGAAACTATGTAGATTCTAAATATGTTTATTATTTATTTATTTATTAAATTTATACAGATTAATTCTAAATAACAATTCAGCCAGAGCAGCAAAGGCCTTCGGGCAAATGTGGACTCTAAATATTTAGATGTATTCTATATATTGTATGTATTTATTTATGTACAAACTGAGGCTAATCTTAATCTTCGTCTGCCTTTTATTTGACAACTTCAAATGCAAATAAAAAATGTCATATAATAATATTTATTTAATATATTACACTTATAATATTTATTTATTGAAATTAGTAAAAGAGGTAAATGCTAAGATATAGATAGAGCAATTATCTATTCGATGATTAGCTGAATTGTATAAGAAATCACTATACAAACTCCGAAAAGCCGCAAAGGAGACATTTTTAACGGGTTTTCCCGAAGAAAATAAAAAAAAAAAAAAACAGCTTCAACAAAAATTTTGTATCACGCAAGACTTGAATCCTTAACTAAAACTATATATGTGTGTGGATGGATGGGAGAGCTGGTCAATCAGCAAAAATCTTAGTCGATTGACTAGCTGATCAATCAAATGGGTATTCACTGTGCCAGCCGAATGACAATGACTCAATCAAAGACTTAACTTGACCAAGAATCTCAAGCATTTAATCAGTCTAGTGAGTCAATCATGCTGCATGGAGGCACTCAATCGGTTGAATAACTTGACAGTGTTTCGGTCAGTCAATCAAGCGGGCATCAATCAAGGCTAGTGAGGCACATTTAACGAGGTGAGTAAGCAATCAATCAGTCAATCAGCCAGGCAATCAGTCAGTCAATCAGTCCGTCAATCAATCAGTCCGTCAATCAATCAGTTAAAGATACAAGACAAAGTCAGTCAGTCTCTCAATCAACTATAAAGCAAACAATCTATCCACATGCTTGCCTCC